CCTCGTTTAGAAACCCGTCCATGAGTTGAGTATCGGTCGATATTGAGCGCCTCAGGGAATTCAAGAGAGCGTCAAAGAGTTGTTGTATGTGATCATCAATGACTGTCTTCACTGGTAGAGTCTGGACTGTTATACAATCGACTTTTATTGTACTGCGTGAAATAATAATAATAATAATAATAATAATAATAATAATAATAATAATAATAATAATAATAGTGGGCTAAAAACAACAAAAATGCAGCATAGATACACAAAATCGTGTCAATTACATGTACAATGATTATAAACTTTAAGCTCACTTTGGTAGTTTCTCTGCATCTCTTCCTCGTCCTTTTAATGCTCTGAAGTTCCTCTCATAGTCAGCAGTCGATTGACAGTGTCGGTCAACCAGAGCATCAAGATCATGTGACCCGAGGACCACCCACTTCTCAAATTGAACGATGGAGCTCTGAAGACGTGAGAAGAGTCCTTCAGCCTTGCTGTAAACTGTAGAGAAGGAAGGAGCATTCCTGTCAATGAGACGAGGGAATATAGAGGAGGGGGAGGAGGATTCTCCGACCCCACGGAAATGTAGCGGAATGCAAATAAATTTTTTCATGTCACGATAGTATTTGGCTCTGATTTCTTCAAGAGGAGGACGAAACTGTAACTGCTGAAACCTGAGGGTTTGAAAGGAAAGAGATAATTTCAAGATCACAACATGTGCATGTACACACCCTCCCTTTCTCTCTCTCTCCCCCCTCTCTCTCCTTCCCTCTCTCTCTCTCTCTCTCCTTCTAACCTGTATGTAAGTTCAACTTTAATCTCAGGTAGATGTTCATTCAGTGCCTCCAGTCCCAACTGGTACTGATGCTCTAATGACTTGTAGAGTTGATGGTCCCAGTGTATCTTCCATGGTCTCATGTTAGAGGAGTTGAATCCTTCCTGTACCAGGCCCGCCATCATTTGTCTCACGTCCATCAGCACTTCTTTCCATTTGCTTTGCTGTCTCAATAGATCTGTTGACATTAGTGCTACAGTCTATGAAGATAAAGGAGAGAAAAGATGTATACGTGTAGAACAATACGATACATTTACTGTGGCCTGATTTTTTAGCAACTTTGAAAATTCGTATAAAAAATTTATTTTTGATCGGAATCAGCTCAAACTTGAAACACAACATAAGTACATGTATATGCATCAGAAAAAAATATAAAAATGCAGAATTCTCTCCTAGTCATTTTTCACAAAATTTGGCCGACGACCCTGTACTATAGTACAGGGACTTTGGCCCAATTTTTGAGTAACTTTTAAAATTTGTAAAAAAAATCCAATTTTGATCTGAATTAGCTCAAACTTGAAACACAACATAAGTACATGTATATGCATTAAAAAAATTATAAAAATGCAGAATTCTCTGTTTTTCATTTTTGACAAAATACCCTGTACTACATGTATGTACAGCTTAGCATGGATACCTTATCAATAAGTGAAGTATGACATTTCCTCAATCTCCTATTCTCAGTGGTCAGTCTATCAGTGATTGATTCTAATTGACTTATAAAGCTCTCAAGCTCTTTAGGATTGTCCCACGTGACCTGAGGGCTCTCGCTCCCCCCACCGACTCCCTTTGGGTTCTTTATCATCCTCTCAAAGGCTTGGGCAGTGTCTATCATCATCGGCTTCTGACTCTCGATCATCTCCTGATCAATAGTGTTGTAAAAATGAGCAATCTGAGGAGAAAAAAGTTAAAAAAATAATAAATTAACTTTAAATAAAGCACAAGCAATGAGTACATGATGGATTGTATGTATTTTTAATGTACACGTACATTTAAATGTATTTTTAATTGTTACCTTTTTCAGTGAGACCGCATGCTTATAAAACCTCATAGCAGTTGCCGCCGTGTGTTGTATCTTGGCTGGAACGAGAAACCCAAGACCTGAGAGCTGCCGGACTTCTCTTAACAGAGACACCAACCTATCACTGTATTGCACCTACAGTGGATACATGCAATAGGAACAGATAGTGATAATTTCCATTAATGTACATGTACATGTAATAATCTATATGTGTATACATGTATATATGTAGCAATCTGTTACAGTATATACATGTACATGTACATGTACATGTACCTCTAGTCTTCCATCCCTCCCAGTCAGCTCCATAAGTCTCCCACTTGTCTCAAGGTTGATTGGGTCGGTCCTGCTGTCTATGGATGCTATCATTTGTCTTGACCAGCTATCAAACTGGTCCCTCTGATAGTCTGAGAGCTCATCCTTTAGCTCAGTCGCTTCTCTCTGGAATTGTTTGTAGCCTGTCAGGTCACCAAGGAGGCTCTCTGCTGTAGATAGAGTCTCTGATACCTGTAGGTTAATGCACAAATGTCCATTTATATATACATGTACATGTACATGTATATATACAGTATGAACATGTATAATGAGATTCATACTATTGTGTGAAAACCACAAAAATGTAAAAAGTGAGACCCACTATGAACTATTCAAACTGGCTGCTTTAAAAAGTCACAACTGTAATATATATGTGACATGACTTCATGGTGTAATGATCATAACATAAAACAATTTTTGAAAGGGTGTATACATATATGCAATACCCCTGATGATAATATAATATATTAAATAATAATACTTTAGTTAAAATGATAACACAAGTACAGCATGAACATTAGTTAATTAACCTTTGCTTCCAATTGTCTGGCCCACACTATGTTGTTCACTACTTCCGGAAGGTTCTTTCCAGTGGGTGGGGCACTCTGGTCCCTCAGTTGGTGCTGGCTCTGATGGGCAGGGCTTCCAATATAATGATTAGTGAAGTCTTCTCTTAGTAGCTTTATGTATGAAGAGAGTTGACCCAAAAGTGTCTCGCTAAAATAAAAATATGAAATATACATGTACATGTACATGAAAAATTCTAGCAAATTTTTAGCATTTTGACAGCTACTGTATAATAAATTTTGAACCATTAAATGGACACATAGGCACAAATTTGCCAAATTAAAACCCACCAATAACCAAAAATTTAACACTTTGCCAAAATTTACCCCATTCAAAATTACCAGCTACATGGCACATGCATATTATATAGTTACATGTACATGTACATATCATGCTTCATCTCCTCAAGCTGTTCCCCTTACCGTTCAGTAATTAGGTCTTTACTGATAGCTGGTCTCTTTATTAAGTCCTTATAGCGAGTGAACTCCCTCAACAGCTGGTGAGGCTGAGCCTCCAAACTCTTTAGTTTCTTTCTTATCTTTCCAGCGATCCTTATCTCTGCTGGCTCCATTGTCCTCTCGTACTGGGCCACAGCTGCCCTCCAGAGTGGTTCAGTGTATGGGTTAGGCTGAAGGGGGTGGAGGCCAGTAAAGGGAACGAATGAGTCTGAGAGATGGAACTCTGTCCTTTCTTCTGGTGCTAGTAAACGTGATAGCTGTTCATGAACTGAACGTAGACTAGAAACCTAAATCATACATTATAAGTATAATAATAATAATAATAATAATAATAATACACTAACAAACATTTACACACTTTAAAGTTGTAACATACTGTTACAATTACTCTTATATTTACAACTACATTTGTATGTGTACATATACACACATTTCTCCTTCTCTTCTCTCGTATACATGTACTCCCCCTCTCTCCTCTCTCTTTCTCCCTCTCTGTCTGTCTCTCTCTTTCTCTTTCTCCCCCCCTTCTCTCCCTTCTTACTTCTTCAATTCTCTTAATCATTTGGTTGATAGTATCAGACATAAACACATTCCCAGTCCAAGGATGAGTTGAGTGATACTGTTTCCACTCTTGCATGGTCAGTGCTTCCGCCGACTCTACCCACCTCTTACAAACCCCCAGTCCTTCTTGAAGCTTCACGCTCACTTCCTTAAACCCTCCGGCCCAGAAATCAAGACTACCGAGTCTACGCTGAACGCAATGTGATAAGCAGCAACTGATGACTTCCATTAGATGACTCATCCTAGTCTCTGGATAAGGAGGGTCAAACTGGTCTTGTTGCCAAACGTTGCTCAATACTTCCCTTGTCTCCTCTATCAGCTCTAGTATATCGTCAGGGAAGGAGTGAGAGTCAATCTGGTCGTACTCCGTCACGAGTGACTGGAGCTGCTCTTGAAAGAACTGGGCCCTCTCTTTAGCCGCTAGCTTATTGCTAGCGTTTGCAGTCTCCGCCCAAAATTGATACTCATCGAGTGGAGTTATGATACCCAGAGTCACCTCCTCCGAGTTTCCCTCGTTTTTGGTTCCTCCTACTTTAGCGTTGGTCCCTTTATTCTGACGACGAAGGACGGAACCTAAACCAGCCTCAAGCTGTGTGACAAGGTCTCGTATTTTAGGATCTACATTCGCTGCCGAGGAGGAGGAGGAGGAGTTGGAGTCCTTGACTAATATTGGAGCAAATACTTTTTGAATCGAGTGATAGAGAGTGTCCAGTGGAGAGGAGAGAAGAGAAGAGATGATAATATTTGAGTGGAGGTTGTCAGGAGTGATGACTGTCGGGAGGAGCTTAAAGAGAACGAGCCAATCGTCCGAGCTAGCATCCGACTGAATGTGATCATAAACCTATTCACAAACAATAAACAACAACAAACAACAAAAAGGTGTGGTCTGTACAAGGTAATTACCACACCCACAAATAATTTAATTCAAATTTCAATATAAAATTAATTTATAGACATTATTTTATTTCTTTTACCTGTATCAGTTCGACCCCTCCGGTGAGCTCCTGCCTAGTAGCGAGCAGGGAGCAGTTCCCGTCGTCCAGAAAAGAGTTCATTTCTTGGGACGATGGAATATGAGCTACCGCCCCGTCCGATATCGAGTAACCAAAATGGTTGCCTATAGTGGCGAGTAAGTAGTCCTTCCTGGCGTCACCAGACATCTTTAAAATGCTATCCTACAAAAAAGAAAGAAAGAATCCTTCTATTTATCAGTTGTAGTGGTCATAGCAACTACAAATGAAATGGGGCGTGTCTGTTTACTCTGACCACGCCCATACAACAGACCCGCCCCTAAACAATGGCTACCGACTTGGAACTGTTGCAAAAACTAGAACCAAATGACTCCAGAAAGGTGAGGCCTCGAATTTTAGAAGAGGCTGCATTAGAATGTCTTTCTCCTTGATCTTCCCATTAGTTCGTCCATGCTGCCATTAACGGTCTTTGTGAAAAGGACGGACTCCATTATGAAGAGTACAGCAACTCTCTCTCACTCTCAGAATACAGCAAACTAAAGCAATCCTTGATAAGCACCATAAGACAAACAGCAAGACAAGGAACCGATAAAAAAGACGTAATAATAATAATAATACTAAATTACTAATTTCATAGATATACGACTGGTCACGCCCATTCACTCTATTGTAGTTTTTAGATTCGCTAGTTAAACTCGGAGCTCCTCAAGATGTGGGCGGGGTCATAGCCGAGAGCTTGTGGGTCAGACGGGACGAGATACGTGCCCAATTCATACGAGACTCCGCCTCTTTTTCTCATTCGTCGCTAGGTGACTATGACATTAGAACGAAAGTAGGTGGAGCCAATTACACTACTTAAAAAATTATCCTGGGCTTAAAATTCCATGAATTAACAAAATAAAAAAGAATTGCTATTTAAATTTTGTTTTTACAATTTAGTGCCCACAAAATCTCCAGCTATACAGCACATGAGTTACTCGTTAATTATTATTTATATTTTCATAGTTGGTACTTTCCAGTGATAAACTTGGTTCCATTCAAGAGCCACTCCTCTCGTTGGATCTCAGACTACACGAGGGAGGGAAGGAGAGAGTAGAGAGCCTGGAGCTATCAAAAGACGAACTGGATAAACTCGTTACGTCACTAGAAGCAGCTAACAAAGTTGTTCTTCAATTACGTACCTAGTATTATTATAATTATTAAGAAGTAGCATAAACTATAGAATGTCTGTGTGTGTGTATATGTATATGTACATGTGTTAATCGCTATTTTGTGTAAAATTTTGCTAACTACTAAAATTTTAAAGCAATTCTGAGTGTATAGTGTTAATCAAAATGGCTTCTTCATTTTGCTACACGATGCTAGCTAGCTGCTGCATCTTGCCCCACCCATTCAATAATTAATAGATAATATAATGACAATCTCTTTTACAAAAATAAAAGAGAAGTTGATTAAAATGTACACAATGAAGAGAGATGGGGGAGGAGAAAGAGAGAGAGAGGAAAAGAACAATAAATATATGTGTATGTTCAGATAACTCCTAAGAAACAGAGCTACTGCCTCTCATAATCTTCTCCATGGTGATGTTCTTGATCAAAATAATGATGATAATAATAATAACAATAACTATACACACAAACCAGTGTTGATAAAATAAAATGCCATATAAATTCGGAATGAAATAATAATAATCGATAATGACAAGGACGATAATCATACTTAATCACACAATAATAATGATGATGAACAATACAACTGAATGTTACATAACAATAATAATAATAATAATGATACAAGAATGCGATGGAGGAAAAGAGAGAGAGAGAGAGAGAGGTGGGAAGGAAAGGGGATATGATACTTTGATTAATGTCATGCACATACAAACTGCATAAACATAATAGATGAGAGAGAAATAACCCTGATAAAATCCAGAGACAAAATAAAGTGTTAACTAAAATAAAACTAAAGTCAACAATGTGCATGGGTGTGAGAGAGAGAGTGAGTTAAGTCTGCCAAACTTACAACAGTAGGACAGAGTGTATACACCTTAGTTACATGGAACAGGCGCATTGTAGTGTTCAGGAGCACCCACTCCTTCTCGACGTAGAATATCATCCTCTGGCCGACACTTTGCCTTTAAATCAACAGTTGCATAAGCATGAACGCCCCCTCCTTCAACGAATCTTTCATCAGTAACACTGCTTCCAGCCGGGAACTCATGACCAGGATCACTAACAGGGCTTCTTTGTCCTTCACTCCTCTTCTGCTTCATAGCAGGAGATCCATCGGAGTTGGTACGTTTGGCCGATAGCTTGAAACCAGTGTTAGGATCAAAGGAGACCTCTTCCTTATGCTGGGCCATGCTCCTCCTTCTTGGTATTGGATTAGATTTAACTTCATTGGCAGGTCTCTGTGGACTCAAGTGTTTCGGCTTCTCTCTTGTCGAGTGAAACCTTATCTGTGGCGTTGGGCTCTCGGACTCAACAGAGTCTGTGTTTGAACCCTTTCCACTATCGGCACCAGACACATGGGAACTCTTCCTCTTTGGGTCATCAATATCAGAGTAGGCACGAGAGCGAGATGAAGAGTTTCCTACTTCGATCCTCTCAAAGTCTCCCTTGGGGAGAGCATCAGAAACAATCGTATAGTTCCCGTCGTCAGTAATGCTTAAGGAATGCTGTGGATCGGAGGTTCTCTTCTGCTGCAAGCCTTGAGATACTTTCTGCTTTATTTTTTCCTTCTGTCTCATGGCAGCAGCTTCAGTTTTTGCATCGAGAGGATTCACGTAGTCATCAGAACCCTTTTTGACTGGAGTCTTCTTTACTTCCTTTGACTCCTCCTCCTCCTCTTTCTCTTCATTAATAACTTGAGCGGCTGCTACTAGTTCTGGTGTTGCTTCGGGTGGGAGGAGCATCTCCTCATTTCTAAGGAAACCAGGCAGAGGACCTGTGAGGTCAGTATACTGTCCGTTATCAGACCACGCCTTTGAGGCAGGTACAGGAGCCATGGCTTGGGCGGGGCTGGTTGGAAGGCTCTGATTACCAAGTGGTGTTTCAGCAAAGGTCTGATTAGTTGCATGTACTACTACTGTGACTGGTTTTGAAGGAGATGGAGCTTCAAATGAATTGTTGAAATGATGAGGAGAACATGGACTAAAGAGAAAGAGAGAGAAAGTGAAAACATACCCATAGGCATAATAACACAAGTACATGTACATGTATATGCACACCCACAGTTACATGCATGTACATACACATGTACACCCACACACAAATACATGTACCATGAATTCAAATTTCAAAGTACAAATGCATACAGTTACTAGCACAATGTGCACACACACAGAGACAAAGAGCGTAGAGAGTTCAAAGTAATTGAGGAATAGGATAATTAGTCTAAACTGGCATACATCCAGACACACTGCCCATCACTCACTCACTTCCTCCCCCATTCCATGCAATCACACACACACACACACACACACACACACACACACACACACACACACACACACACACACACACTCTCTCTCTCTCTCTCTCTCTTTAATTTGTACTTATCATTCGTGGATCTACACACTCTTTAGACATAACAATGATACTAAACAAATGAGAGAAAGGGAAACATTGTCCAGATTAAGTAAGCCAGCGACGTAGCTAGGCTGATAACAGTAACCAAATCAGACTCACACAATAGTGAACAAACAGTCAGATACACACACACACACTGTTCTTTCAAAGAGCAGCTGTATAAGGTCAACGTGTGAATTTTCATACGGTATACTCGAACAATTATAATATTGTCCACCGACACTAGCTGCCTATGCTAGCGATTGTAGAACTGAACAAACAGGTATGGGAAACCAGTCAGGGCAGTATCAGCTGTCCTGGGATTCATAATAGATAAGATCACATTACTAGCTAAGCTTGTTTATCCAAGACTGGGCTAGCATAACAGGTTGGGATAACCTGTCAGACAGGTACTACTATGAAAGTGTGGGCAGGCTTTGACTAGAGCAAAGCATTGTTTTTATATGAAGGAGAAAAACATTCAGGGGACATACACCATGAGAAAGTTGTATAAGGGTTGTCTTTACATGTACATGTATACATGTGGCTTAATGCATGTATGCATGTGTATTGTTAAAACCCAAAAAAGGAGGCAACCAGACAAATGACCCCCCCCCCAAGCAGGAGTTCCACAAAGGAACTCCCCCCACAAAGGAGTTCCAGGTGGAGCTAATATAATCCCTCCCAAATTAAAAATGATACATGTAGGAAATGCATTATTAACAGGAGAAGAGATACTTAGACAAAGGATGCATTCAAAAGAACTAAAAGCTCTACATGTTACATGTGCATTGTTAATTAAAATTCTTTTCCATCACATGATACACGTCAATCCTGTTCTAGTAAAAACCGTCACGTTGTCAGTATTACTATTATACTAATCACATTGCAAGCTTAATTGAATTAGAGTGTGTACCTACTCAAAAAGCTAATCATGACTTACTTTAACTCCACCAGTCCTTCTTCCCTTTCTCTTAACTTTCTCTCTTTACGAAGATACTCACGCATTTTTCTTACTACATGTTAAGAGTGAAGAGAGATAAGGAAGGAACAGATAAAGAAGAGATAGTTAAATGAATAAAATAAAGAGGAAAGAGACAAAAGAAGGGGGAGGGATGAAATTTGATATAGTGGCATGCAATACACCAGTGATGGATATGCTTAAGGCATGATAAGGAAGTCTTGTCTGTGTACTTGTCTCTGCTTGTGCAAGTCAATATTATTACAACTGACTAAGCTACACTATTGCAGAGAAAGCAAAAACTAAAAGAGGGGAATTTTATAATGCAGCGATAAACAGGGACACTTAGTTAGCAGACAAACTGTTAACTCCAATGATATAATAAATGTATAGTAGCGTGATATCACTTGGAATTCATCTCTCCCTCCCTCCCTCCCTCCCCCCCTCTCCCTCCCTCTCTCTCTCTCACTTACATTTCTTGTTAAAGTGTATGACGAGCATAATGATGACAAAGATGAAGAGGATAGCAAGGAATAAAGCTATGACAAGAGCTGCAGCTCCTAAAGCAATACCCAAGTCTAATAGGAGAGAGAGCGAGCATTGAAATATTAAAAATGAAACAAGTCAAATCAAAAAACAGTGTACAATTTATTTTTTATGTTAACATGAAAATTGACTAACAAGCAGGTGGTGTTGTTTAGGAAACCAAAAAATCATCCCATAACTTAATTAAAAAATTACTATGTCTTCAGCCAGTAAGTTTTTTTACATGACAATAAAGTCCCGCACTTTCAAGTACATATATACATGTACATGTAACGCAGGACTTATTAACACTTTCACATGCAAAACTAATTAACAACAAATCAACACCATTGAAAGTGGCAGTTATTTTATATACATATATGATCCCATTGTCCCCATGAAAAGCTGCATAATTATTCCAAAGGAGGCTGATGTCAGTTGGGCACAAAACGCGCTTTACTGGACAGAGGCCAGGCGAGACTACTCAGCCTTGACGGGGCAGTGTAACGTACTGATAGAAAATGTAGAAACTCACTCTGGTTGCCCATTTCTGCTTGTAGTTGTAGATATTTCAACGAATAGAGATTCCAGTTGACAGCTGTGTCTTTCTTTCTTTCTTTCTCTTTGGAAATATGGCGGATAGGAAGGACGAGATGGGGGTGAGGTAGTAAATGTTATATCACAGGCTGGCTGTTTTCATAGCGTCCCGTCTACTCCAAAAACACAGCAGATATCGACACAAGGGGAAACTACGCACACAACCCAGCAAGCAAAAATGGCGTCTTGCTGGGTGTCTTTTATAAGTTTTGCGCAATACAATCCGGTCCAGCCAGTTGAGCAAGCTGGATTTGAAGCCAATTAACACGTGGGTTAGTCACACCTATTTTAATTAACAGATACATCAATAACATCATTACAGTTATTAACTTTAAAATGGCGTACAGTAAAGAGAATTTATTTCTTCTAAGATTGCCTAAGGTGAGAATTAAGACTAGGTTTCGGGGTTAGAAAATTTTTCTAATGTCATAGGATCATGCTGATAGAGTGAGAGAGGCAATAAGGACAGATGCTCTCAGAGATAGGCTACAAATTGAATTTTTCAGTAATTTTAGTCGTAAATTATTTGAATTTAATTTTTTCATTAGGTGGGCAGAGATATGTCAAAGTAAAATTTGACGAAGACAATCTTTCGGGAAAAGTAATAAAGTGTATATTTAATTATTGGTTGTCAAATATCTCTGTCCCTCTCTCTTTTTCAATAGCTTCTCGATTTGCCATCGATAATTGAAGTTCACAAAACTTTAGATAAACGAACAATTTATAAAACCGGTGACATTAGCCAGGTGTGGTAATAATACAATTATTATTATTATTATTATTATTATTATTATATTTGTTGTTATTGTAATAGATGGTCGAATGTACTAAAGAGCATATTGAAATGCCAGAGGAAAGATTAGATGAATTGCCACTCTCAAGACGAAAGGAAATGGCTAAAAAATTTACCTCAAATCACGGGAGTAAGATTTATATAACCACTTGTTTTCTATATCCTGTATTTCTCTTCAGTTGCGCCTCCTTTAAAGAATATCAGGAAAAGAAGATTTAGGAAAACTGCTCCCAAAAAGGTTAATTCATGATTTCATTATTATCATCATGATAGAAAACATAATCAAATGTGAACATGTTATTTAATCACTAAAGTAACATTACAGTGACACTAACAATATGTAGTGAGATGTGTAGTGAGTTGTATGCTACTGTCTTACAGCCATAGTGGTGTGTGGGTAAATATGTTCACTGTCAGGTATTCGTTGCTTTGAGTGATGACATACAACCTCAGGACTCAATTAGACACTAATCAGTTTGAACCATCAGCCAGACTATGTATGACTGGTCACACTCGTTTGACAGCTTCCATTACTCGATTAGGCACTAGCATACTTGAGTTACAACAACACGCATAGCGTATGAAATTCCAACGAAATGAGAACTTTATTATCCAACATGTAACACATACTGTACACGATGAACATGTACTATGATCTGCTCTATAATTACTACTGACATGTTCCATTATTATTATTACACTCAGAGTCACCTTACTATCTTGTTAATGTAGTCTCAGGTTTCAATGCGCTATCAACCGATTAGTGTAGTAAGTTTCCTTTGAATCATGCCACTAAACAAATAACAGCTCTTATATATTGTATATATTGCACAGTTTACTATACATGTATATTATGGAAAGCATCTAATATGATATGATGTACATGTGGTGATTGTCTATCTATGTGTATCATGTACATGTATATCTGTCTTCCTGTGTACTGTAAATGTGTTTTTGTTTCAGTAATAGTAATGATGGAGTGATTGAATGAGTTTGTTGTTAACATGATGATTGAGTTCACTATAGGTAATATTCCCCCATTTGGTCCCTTACTTTAGTATATTTAGTATGTGCATTGTAATTTATTGATTTGGGAACTTGAGGGGGATTAGATACATGTACGTTCATGGTTTGTTTGTTGGCTCTGGTGTGTCTACCAGCTGGTGATTGACATTTTTGATAAGATTTTTCAAAACAAATAAGTGTAATTAGTTACCATATCTTATCTCTCCCACCCACATTCTCTCTCTCTCTCTCACACATACACACACATACACACACATACACACACATATCCAGTTTATCGATTCTCCAGAGATAGAGAAAGAGCTTAAGAGGCTGCTAAGAGAAGACCTCCAAGCTGTCAATGTTTGTACGTTTCTGTGTCTGCTTGTCTATTTTTTTAACATTGTCTTGTGCTAGCTTATAAAGTTATCAATGAAGAGAACAGACAAGATGACAATCAAAGGTACAATGTGTATATGTACATGTACATGCTTTTACTGTTTATTTCTCTCTCCCCCTACCTCATTATTAGTGTAATATCAGGGAATACCTCTTCTCGTGCCCATACTCCTGCCTTTCCCCCTGATGAGGAGAGTATGACATCATCCAGTCTCAATGAAGGTGCTTGTATACACATACACTTTCTCCTTCATCTTCCTCTCTCAATCTCTCTCTCTCTCTCTCTCTCTCTCTCTCTCTCTCTCTCTCTCTCTCTCTCTCTTTCTCTTCTTTGTTTTCTGTAGATGTTGCTAAAAGTGAGTTAATGAAAATGTTCAAAGAAGTAACTTCGAGCAGTGAAGATGAAGAGGAAGAAGAAATAAGTATGTTATATATGTCTCTTTTTTAATTGTGTGCCTCCTTCTTTCATCTTCTTTCCATTTTTCAGCTGTCGAAGTTACAGATGATGGTAAGAGTGCTCACTGCTTTTTGGTGTATACAATAGTGTCTCATTTCATTGAATAGAGGGCTCACCTAGTAATCCTGAGATTGTTCAGCTCCATCAAGCAATTGTGGATCTTGATCTTCAGATTGAGGAACAGAAAATGAAGATTGAGACTACAGCTAATTCAGTATTAAGAGTAAGAGAAGGAGGGGGGAGAGAGCACCTGGGGGGGCTAATTTTTATTATGGAGTGTGTATTTTATAGGCAAGATTTGAGACATTTTTATCAGAGCTTGAAAGACAAAGACAAGAGAAATCAGAAGAAGTAATGGCTAATTCACCAACTCATATCACACTCTCTCTCTCTCTCTCTCTCTCTTTCTCTCTCTTACTGTTACTACAGTTACAAAATATTTCCTCTTAATGGATGAAGCCACCTCTTCCCATTAATATGTGAGTAATGAAGAGACCTTGTAAATATTAAATTTAATGTGTGAGTGTGTGTATATATGTCATACTAAAATTATGTACTTATGTACATTGACTGCACATGCCTGGTTTCTGTTATGAGTGTATTTCTCAGGCTTTAGTTTATACTACATTCGCTACTATTGACTTTGTGCTATACCCTCACTTAGGTCACGCAAAACACTTTAGTATGAAAACTTTTATGCGCTACAATGCACATACTGTACTTAGCCTTAAACATAGTATGATTATACATCATTATGCCTGCCCACAAGGCATTGGTCTGCTCCCTTTTATGACTTCTGTTATGGCATCATCTTAAGTGGTCATTGGCTATTCAGTTTTGCCTTGCCCTTTTTTGTTTTACTTAATTAATGGAGAAAGTTGTTATAAAAATGAAGAATCATCTTGGAGCCATTTTTGATGAAAATACCCTTTCCATGGTCTTTGGCAGCAACTTTAAAAATTCATAAAAATATCTAATTTTGATTGGAATCAGCTCAAACTTGATATACAGCATAAGTACATGTATATGTATCAGAAAAAATTATAAAAATTCAGAATTTTTACCTAGCCATTTTTGACGACATTTGGTCCCTGTACTATAGTACAGGGACTTTGGCCCCATTTTTGAGCAACTTTTTAAAAATCATAAAAAATCCAAACTTGATCGAAACCAGCTCAAACTTGATATACAACATAAGTACATGTATATGTATCAGAAAAAATTATAAAAATGCAGAATTCTCTCCTAGTCATTTTTGACAAAATTTGGCAACGACCCTGTACTATAGTACAGGGACTTTGGACCCATTTTTGAGCAACTTTAAAAAATCATAAAAAATCCAAACTTGATTGGAACCAGCTCAAACTTGATATACAGCATAAGTACAAGTATATGTATCAGAAAAAATTATAAAAATTCAGAATTTTTACCTAGCCATTTTTGACAACATTTGGCCAACAATCCTGTACTATAGTACAGGGACTTTGGTGCAGTTTTTGACCAACTTTAAAAAATTCAATTTTGACCAGAATCAGCAATTTGCCTCTTCGTCTGCTTAAATTATAATAATTATTCTTGTTATTATATTTTAAAAAATAGGAAAAATATTATTTAATAATAATTATTTGTTTTATAATTTACAGGTACTGTTCCTGCTTGCTGTATATATATAACGTGTACATGTGTGTGTGTCTGTCTGTTCTTTCATCTAATAAATGTCATCAGAACTCTTCATCATACCCATGGTGCCACCATAAACCCGACCTCGTCCACTTAGTTGACTTGATCGTGATAGCCGCTTCTCCTGTTTTGGTTCACTGCTTGTCAGGCGAGAGAGAAAACTCCGCCTCTTTTCTGGTTCCTAATTATTAAAAATTAATTTATTTAAATTCAATGTATACAGGTGCATGTGTCATCATTACTTGTCTTCTCATTGGAGCTCCTCCTCTCATTACGACTCCTCCTCTTCCTCTCATTACGACTCCTCCCCTTCCCCTCATCACTGGTCCTCCTCTTCCTCTCATTACGGGTCCCCCTCTACCTCTCATAGCCATTCCTCCTCCTACTGCTCCTCCTCCTCTTCCTCCTGCTTGTTCTTTTCTAAGTTGAGCTTCTCTTGCTGCAGCTTTCTTTGCTCTGATTGAGTCTAATTCAGCATAAGAGTATTCTCCAGGATCATAGGAGGGTCTGCGAATGGTGTCTTCACTAGTTTCACTGGGTGCCTTTGAGCTGGGTGGTATTAGTGGAGTGTCCATTGGAATCTGTACAGGCTCAACGTCCATGAATTGCTGGTCAAGCATTGAGTACTCTCCCAGTAGAGATGAGGTCCTGTCTCCCTCTTCTTTTGTCTCTTCAGTCTCCTTTTCTTGCTTCTCTACTTCTTTCTCATCTTCATCTTTCTTTATTTGCGGTTGTATCTGTATTACTGGCTGCTCCTGTTCACCTTCTGGGATTACTTTAGGCATTTGTGCATAACGAACTGGCTGTTGTTGCTGCTGTGGTCTTCCTTGTTGTCCTTGCTGCTGTGGTCTTCCTTGTTGTCCTTGCTGCTGTGGTCTTCCTTGTTGCTGGGGTCTTGCTTGTTGTCCTTGTTGTTGCGGTCTTCCCTGTTGTTGTGGTCTTCCTTGTTGTCTCATTTGTTGTTGTTGTCTCATTTGTTGTTGTTGCATTTGTTGTTTGTATTTCTGCTGCATCATTATTTGTCTCTGCTTCTTTTGTTGCTCTTGTCTCTTTATTAGTTCCTTTCTTCTTTGCTCCTGTTGCTTCTTTAATTCTTTTTGTCTCTTTTCTTGTTTCTTCTTTAGCTCTTTCTGTCTCTTCTCTTGTTGCTTCCGTAGAGCTTCTTGTTCTTTCTTTGTTAGTGGAGGCTGACGTGGTTGCTGCTGTGCTCCTGGTTGTTGTTGTCTTGGTTGTTGTGGTCCTCCTCCTTGTTGTCTTGGTTGTTGTGGTCCTGGTTGTTGTTGTTGAGGTCCTGGTTGTTGTTGTTGTCTTGGTTGTTGTGGTCCTGGTTGTTGCTGTTGTCTTGGTTGTTGTGGTCCTGGTTGTTGCTGTTGTCTTGGTTGTTGTTGTTGTCTTGGTTGTTGTGCTCCTCCTCCTTGTTGTGGTCCAGGTTGTTGTTTCTGTGCTCCTGGTTGTTGTTGTTGTTGTTTACGAAGTACAACTGGAGGTTGCTCTTGTTTCTCTTTTTCAAGCTCTTGTTTCTTTAGTCTCATCTTTCTTTCTTCTTCGTCAGAGGAAGATGATTCCTCCAGCGCCTCTCGCTCTGTTTGATCCTCAGAGAGAGGAGGGGGGGAAGGTGAGGAAGATTTTGAATAAGGTTCAGGTTTAGGAGGAGGTGGAGATTTCTTGTCAATAGAAGTCACTGTGTACTGACGTGGGGAGCCTTTCTCTGGCAAGGGAGCAGGCCTGCAAAGAAAAAAAATAATCACAATATAAAATTATTTCTCTCCAAGATATTGAATTGTCTTGCTTTACTTACATTAATTCATAGCTCATTTCAGCTGTAGATGGAGACACTACAAACAAAAAGAAAATATTTGATAATTTTATACGTTTGATGACATAATTTTGCTTTTCCCATCACTCACTTTTAAATATCATTTTTCTCCTTCTTGGATTCCTATAGCAATACAGCAGTACCATTACTCCTACTATGACTAATATTAATATCAATATGACCAGGATCACTGGGATCACAATAGCTGCTACATTAGGACTAGGAGCTGCTGTCCCTACTATTATGCTAGGTGAGATTGAGGGCTCTGCTTCAGTACTACCAATAACTGTAGGAGCAATGCTTGATGGTGAAGGAGAGGAGAGCGAAGATGAAGATAGAGCAGCTAATGAAGAAGACAGCATTACTATAGATGAACTCATTATGAATGAGCTTGTAAGGCTAACAGAACTGGTGACAATGAAAGAAGAAGTAGCAACTGCAGTTGATGTACTTGAAAAACCTATAGCAATGATCAAAAATAAAATAAATGATTCATCTAATGCATGACTGTGTTATCCTTACTCATGCTGGTGCTAATGATGAGTGAGACATTAATAGGAGCAGAGAGATCTCCTGTACCATACTGATTGACTGCCTCAATTGTTATTGTATATTCGTGTGGAGAGACGAATAGCAGCACATTGAAATCAGCATTTTGACTACTAGGAGACACAGTAACAACCTCAGTGACTGGCGGAGAATTGTCTGCTAGAAAACAACACATAAAGAGATAATAATTAACATCATTTTAACAGCATACCTGTATTTTGTGCATACACTCTATACTCTGAGAGAGTTCCTGCTGGATTAGTTGGTGGGCTCCACGAGACCTGAATATAGCCAGCCTGAGGGTTCCCAATCACTTGAATATTGGTAGGGGACCCGGGAACTAACAAAAACTCAATGCATATCATAGAGAAACATTTATACTTACCTCCTCCTAGGGTTTGAATCGATTCACTTACCAATGGACCATCCCCTCCTTCATTGTACGCTGCTATGTTAACAGTGTATGTCAGACCATTCTCTAGTCCATTGAATATATGAACAGTGGCATCAGGAGAGAGGGCAATAGGGAGAGACAGGCCAGAGACTGGAGGTGATATGTACACATGAAATCCATCATAGTCTCCTTGTGGTATCTATAAAATAGAATAAATAAAAAACACTTCTTTTATGTCATTAACTTGTGTGTACCTGCCAACTGGCAATGATTTGACCAAAAGAAGGAACAAGTAGATTCAGACCTGAAGGAGACACTACAGGTGGATCGGGTAGAGTAACCGAAGGAGTAGGAGAAGAGGCAACAGATGAACTAGTCATAGCAGCACTACTGCTGGTTACTACTGACGAGCTTGTAACAGCAACTGATGATGAAGAGGCTACAGTACTGGAGGGAACAGCACTACTGATCACTGAACTGATTTCAATGAGAGTGCTTGATATGAGAGGCATGCCCATTGATAAACTAGTAGCAACGACAGATGAGGATGTCATCTCTGGAGGATCTACGGAAAAACAAAACAGATTCATCAAAACTTCCTAATACAACAAGATACACTATATTGCATGTGATAATAAAAAAAATAATAATATTTTTCACTCCAAATGAGCTTCAATGATCCACTTACTTTCAAATAATGACACAGTGATGATATCGGAGGGTAATCCTATTCCATTCTCATTCTCAGCCGAAACTGTTACCTCATACAATCCATCGGGTATTTGAGTGAAGATGGTCGAAAAAGGAAAATTCTGTGCAGGAGCAGGGACTGATATGGTCTGTGAGAATATGGTCCCATCAACTGTAGGAAGAAATGATTAAATAATAATAGTCCTATAGTTCATTCTTACTTGTGTTTGTGAGGACTACAAAGTAAGTGAACAGTGTTCCACCAATGTTCTCAGGAGGTAACCAATTGACTTGTATCTCTCGGGACAAAACTGAGGCCTGAGCTGAAACCCCTAATGGAGGACTTGGAGCTGCAAGGAAAAGAAAAGTAGAAGAATAATAATAACACTGTGAAAAATAAAAACAAATTTAATAAGTTGTATTTAATAGTTGCAATACAAACTTACGTCCTGGTGGAGTTTGAATAGAATTAGTGACCAAAGGCCCGTCTCCTCCTTCATTAAACAATGCCACACTGATATTGTACTCAACTTCATTAGCAAGACCACTAATGCTTGTCTGAAGACTGAATGACTCAAGCGTAATGGGTAGGGTGATGTTAGCAGAGAGAGGAGGAGGGGGAGAGATGTATACATGGAAACCATCAAATTCTCCAGCCATTATTGGCAGGGACCACTGGGCTAGGATAGTACCAACCTCAGAGCTTAGTTGGAGATCTGTTGGAGCAGCTGAAGGAGGATCAGGGAGAGGAGAAGGAGAGATGGAGGGAGAGGGAGCTATAGATGATGAAGGAGTATTTGTAGCAAGAGATGAAGATGGAGTGAGAGCGAGTGTCGTAGAGGGAGTGATAGAAGTGGCTACAACGAGTGTAGTAGCACTAGTAGCAGGAGCTGAGAGCTGAGAGGAAGAACCAACTGACTGAGAGAGAGAAGAACCAACAGAAGACGAAGGAGACAAAGCAGCACTAGTACTGGTAGGTGTGCTTGCTAGTGAAGTGCTACCAGAACTAGTCATAATCACACTGGTTGATACACTGACCAGTGATGAGGAAACACTGCTGGACATAGAAGCTGAAGTCGTTGCTGAAGACATGATGGTAGTTGCCGTGGCAAGAGAAGACGTTGCTGGAGCAACTGACAACATAGTCATGGCAACTGAAGAGGTTGTCATAGCAACTGAAGAGGTTGTCATAGCAACTGAAGAAGTTGTCATAGCAACTGAAGTTGTTGTAGCAACCAAAGAGGTTGTTGTCATGGGAGCAATGGTGGTACTCATTGATGGTGGTGATACCTCATCACCGTTGAGTATCCATAGCTCAATGTACGGGCCCCAGAGTACCTCACCATTGATACCTATTGTACCAGCTCTGACTTGAACACGATAGGTAGCGTCAGACAATAAACCTAAAGGAAATAAATAATAATGACATTGTACACAATAGAATCAGCTCAAACTTTTATATAGCATAAAAACTTTCAAATATGTTTTACAGCAAATTTTGTCCACTATGTACATGTACTATGGTCCATGATCTCTCAAAAAACATTATTTAAAAATGATGAACTTGCAAGGTCATTATGACCAAATTAAATCATAACTTGCAGGGGCATATCTAGGAATTGGGGAAGGGGGGTGCTGAGGGCGCGCGAAGCGCGCCGTGATTTTGGCCACACCCACTTTTAAGGCGGTAAAACAGCCTTTTCCTGCATTTTCGTCAATTACGGGTGGGGCCAAGATCTTTTCAAGCATACTGCTATTATACTGGTACTTCTGATTGCTCCTTAAGCCCACCATCCACTATTCAACTTTGTTGAAAGCAACTTTGTGGTTACTTTGATCTTATGGCAACTCTGTTGCCTGAAATAGAATTCAGTTCTATTTCAGGCAACAGAGTTGACAGCACATCAAAGTAACCACAAAGTTGCTTTCAACAAAGTTGAATAGTGGATGGTGGGCTTAAAAGCACTGGAAACTGCTGAAATCATGATCAGGGGGCTAGATAACTTTGTTAATAGGCTTGGTAGTGATGCAAGAGTCCAGGACTTCAGTAATTTTTTCTGAGCCCAGCCCTGAGGGGGGTGCTCAAGCCCCCTCAGCCCCCCCCCCTAAATACGCCTCTGACTTGTACAAACAATACTTGTACATTATCAGAGACACCAGCCCTGCTTGTATAACCTTTGTACTACAGTAAGCTTTAACAATGTAATTTTAATGAAGCAGTCAGACACACACTTTCTATTGTCATTATCTGTCTCTTACCAGTCACTGTTGACATTGTCACAAATAAGACTCTATCAGTTTGTAATGTAGGATCATCCCAATTAGTGACTAATATCTCATAGACTCCAAACTGTCCATTAAACTGCAATGGAGGGTCCCAACTGACTGTGACAGAGGAAGGAGGAGTGAACGTAAATGTGAGATTGTTTGGTGGTAGAGGGGAGCCAGGGTGGGTCCTCACAGCTGGACTATACACATCACTCGGAGGGCTGGTGCCAGCAATATTAACAGCTCTTAGTCTCACATCATATTCTGTATATGAGAGAAGGCCAGTGAGTCCATATGACAGTATATTAGCTGAGACACTAGTGGAACCGTAGCTATCGTTAGAGGTACTTGGACGATATTCGATAATGTAGGAGGTAACTGGTGTACCGCCATCACTAGATGGGCTTGTCCAGGTAACGGAGAGAGAATGAGAGCCGGTTGCTACTACTTGTGTTACACTGGGAGAGGACGGGGGAACTAGAGAGAGGAAAACCAGTCTGACAGGTTAGGACAACAGGTTTATAAGACTTACGTAGGACGGTTAGTGTAGCATTGCTTGTGACAGATCCAACAATATTAGTAGCAACACAAGAATATACACCACCATCTGTGGCTGAGACCGATGGTATTGTATAGGAAGAGGTCTATCAGAAATAAATTTTAAAAATAAATAAAATAATTATAAATAATTGTCCTACTTCTGCTCCAGGTATTATCTGTCCATTATATAGCCAGTGATATGTTGGCTGAGGATTACCAGTTGCTGTACAGTTGAAGGAGCCGCTAGTTGATATTGGGACAGATATGGAAGATGGAGAAGCAGTTATGGAAGGCAAATCTACAACCAACAAAATAATAATAATAATAATAAATTAATAATAATATCTTACAGTAAACAGTCAGTATTACATCCTGTGATGCTGATCCAGCTATATTGGTAGCAGTGCATGTATAAGTCCCTGCATTGGTACGAGAGAGGGAAGAGAATGTTAGGCTGCTTCCGCTAGGAAACACAAGTCCTCCTTGGGACCATTGTACAACTGGAGTTGGGTCACCCTCCACTTGACACTCAAGTACATGTACATCGCCTTCAATCCCAGTGCTGTCTGGAAGAGGAGGAGAGAAACTAGGGGGAACTGAAAGAGAAAAATAACTAAAAATGTATCTACTTCTTATTTTATACCATGCACAGTGAGGTCGACATAGTCTTCACTGATTCCAGCTACATTAACTGCTCTGCATGTGTAAACGTCTTCATGCGACTTCATAACGTTACCAATGACAAGAGTCTGCCCATTAGATATATACTGAAATCCTGCAAAAATAAAAAATGCACATAAAACTGACCAAGAATGAAATAGAAAGAATTCTTCATTTTAATATTTCTTTCTGATGCATATACATGTACTTATGTTTCGTATCAAGTTTGAGCAGATTCTGATCAAGTTTGATTTTTTATAGATTTTTCAAATTGCTAAAAAATTGGGCTAAAGTCCCTGTACTATAGTACAGGGTCGCTGGCCAAATTTTGCCAAAAATGACTAGGAGAGAATTCTTCATTTTTATAATTTTTTCTGATACATATACATGCACTTATGTTGTGTAGAAAGTTTGAGCTGATTCCGATCAAGTTTGGATTTTTTACGAATTTTTAAGTTTGCTTCAAATGCACATACTACATATTGTAGTACTTTTCAGCTCATGAAGCAAGCTGCTTAGCTCACTTATGTGTGGAAAACCCCATACATTAACCACTTTACAAAAAATTACAAAAAAAATTATTTCTTTGCTTACCGGCCCGATCCCGAGCTATGGCTGTATCGTTGCTATACCATGTAATGAGAGGAAAAGGTTTTCCTGCAGTAACAGTGCAATAGAGAACAGCACCATTACCCTGGACTACCGTCAGTGAAGGATACAATGCAGTAATATTTGGAGCAACTAAAAAGAAAGAATCATAGCATATACAGGTGTATATTATATTAATGGTATTTTCTTACTGTTAACTGTGAGGGAGACAGTTGCTGATTCAATTCCAGCATCATTTGATGCCTGGCATACAAACATTGATCCCTCGTCGCTAAGAATCACATTGGATATGATCAGTGTATCATTCGAATCAACTGAATAGCGAGGGAAGCTGGGGTTAGGTATGGGAACGGAACCGTAATACCAAGTAAGGGATGGAGTAGGATCTCCCATTGCATTACAGACTAGCTGGGCATTGGAACCAATGTTAGCAGATACGATTGGATCAGGGACAATAATAAGTGGAAGAACTATAGACAAGAGATAATAATAAGAGTATTTCTCTCCTTCACTTCTTCTCTTACCTAACACAGTGAGCTCAACAGTAGCTGATCTATTACCAGCTATGTTACTAGCACTACATGTGTATGCTCCACTATCAGTAGAGAGTGCACTATTGATGATGACACTATTATTTTGAATTGTAAGTTGGTCATTCGTCACTGTAACGGAGCCATCTTTATACCACGTGACAACCGGATCTGGATATCCAGTCACATCACAATCAAGAGTTACGTGTGAGCCTTGAGTTGCATTCAGGTATGGCAACAGAGACACACTTGGAACATCTAGCAAATATAATAATACTTTATTGCTTTATAGGTAGCCATTTACCGTATACATTGAGTGTCACTGTTGCTGAAGCAGTTCCGGCTGAATTAGTACCCTGGCATACATACTGACCATTATCCTCAACTGTTGCATTGGTTATCCTTAAAGTGGAATCAGTCAAAACCTAAGAACACAATATGCTATTAGAGCACTTATCAGGCTACCCCTCCTACCTCTAGTCTATCATTTCCAAGCAATAACACGTCGACCATGTTAGAAGTGAACCACGTTATGGTTGGCTGAGGATCACCTGGAGCAGTACAAGAGAACTCTACTGTTCTCATATCTCCTTCAAGAACTGTCTGACTGATGGGAGTAGCTGATATACTAGGAGCAACTGCAATGAGAAATTTATAAATAACAACATATAAGTACATACAGTATGTTAATCCACTAACCTTCTACTATCAATGATATGCTGGCATTCACACTACCCTGATTATTACTAACAACACACACATACTCTCCTTCATCTTTCTTTAGCACTGGACTTAGCCTCAAAACTGTATCATTTGAGCTCAATTGAGCATTAGGTGTCAAAGCATTAGGGACCTGAGTTTCACCATCATAATACCACTGGACAGACGGGGTAGGATCACCCGTTACAGTACACACAAGTTGAACAGTTTGACCTTGTGTACGTGTCAGAGAACTCTCTGATACACTAACTGTTGGGGCAACTATAAATATAAATAAATAATAACAATAATGCTTAAATTTTAATATTATTTTTTACCTTGTACTTCGAGCCTTACACTAGCCATAGCAGCCCCCAAAGTGTTAGTCCCAGTGCAAGAATAAAGACCCTCCTGACTATGAGCAACTGTTTGAACAAGGAGACTGCCATTGGAAAGGAGCTGGAATCCAGGGAAAGGGAGGGTTAGCTGGGCACCGTTGAAAGTCCAAGTGATGTTTAGGGAAGGATCTTCTTGTATATAGCAAGGAATGAGGACAGGAGAGGAGACTGTAACTGCAATATTAGTGTGATCTACCAATGTCACTGGAAATGCTATAAAAAGGATAAAATAGTATTGATCCAACAGATTAAACTATTACTTACGAATGACATCAATATTGATATCTTCTTGAACAGATCCTGCCGGATTGCTAACAATGCATCTATATGCTCCTTCATCGACCACTTGAGCATTAAATACAGTCAGTGAATACTCAAACAGTCTCAGATGGGAAGGGTTGTCATTAGAAATGAGAGAGTTGTCTCTGTACCAGGTCACGTTAGGCTGTGGTGTACCGCTGCTATTGCAAAAGAGAGTAAAATTAGAACCTTGAGACGGTTGCAAATCCTCTGATGCTGTATCAATAGTAGGAAACACTACACACAAAAAAAAGATAAAAATAATAATACTTCAATACGTAGCTCATATTCATTATTTTTAATAATAAATTTATCTCCTACTAACCATAAACGGAGAATCGAGCTGACGGGCTGCTCCTAGTGATCCCAATCAGCTCATTATTAGCAACACACACATAATCTCCTTCATCATTAAACGTGGCTGAGGATATTACGAGACTCCCATTAGCCGCAACACTGAACTGTGATCCTGAAACAAGTACTGAGTCCCGGAACCAGGTGATCATTGGAGGAGGGACACTATGAGGAGGAGCACAATCAATAATACCATCTTGACCAAGCAAGCCAAACGTGTCCTGAGGTGGACTCTGGAATGATTGCTCAATATCTATATATAAAAAGGAAATATTAATCGTACTTAAAGATAACCATTTTTCTCTCCCTTACAAGCTATTTCCACAGTTGCATTATTGCTGACATTAGTTCCTTGACTGTTTGATGCAACACAGCGATAATCTCCAACATCACTGTTTTGAAAGTTTGTGATAGTCAGAGTGGAATTACCGCCAGAGCTAAGGACTGATATCTAAAGCAAAAATAACAAATAATTATCATTTGTAGCATATAAAAGCTTACTTTGCTTAATGAGGTATCAATGTTTGCACCAGCAAATTGCCAGCTGATAGTTGGAATGGGTTCGCCAGTTGCTGAGCATTCCAATGTTGCAGTTGACCCAGCAGACAATAAAATCAATGACGATGGACCATTCGTAATTACAGGTGATGCTAGTTCAGCTATATAAACAGAAAAAATAATGAAAATGATGATAATAATAATTGTTTTGTTGGCTATAATAATAATAATAATAATAATAATGAATTATTTAATTACCTGAAACGGTAAGTGTTGCCATACTGCTACGCACTGGTGACCCAGGTAATAAACTATTAGTAGCCACACATTCATACTGTCCAGCGTCTTCATCAGAAACCGGACTAATACCGATTGAGCTGGTTGTTTGAGGAGGGGTAGCGTGCTGAAGTAAAGCTGTTGTTATAGTAATGGAACCACTGCTTGAGAGGGTGGCACCGTCTTTAACCCAGCTCATCTGAGCAGCTGGTAGGCTCCCACTGTGAAGACAAAAGAGTGATACAGCTGAGCCAGCCATTGCATCCATGGAATCGGGACTTATGAGAAAAGAGTCCAATATATCTACATGGAATGTAAAATGAATATGAAGCAAATGCATAAACTATAAACAATGTACAAATACTGTTATAACCAAGTTATCATTTTCTTATTAGATTTGGATTTGCTCTTACATGCAAAGGTTAGGTTAGCACTCCTGTTGTGTGAAACCTGCAAAACTTGGTCAGTAACCACACAAGTGTACATCCCAGCATCTCCTGAGATTGTAGGACTAATACTGAGAATTGTTGAATTGAAACTGATGCGAGATGAAGGGATAAGAGAGACTCCATCTTTCTGCCATTGGACAGAAGCAGAGTTTGATGAAGTAAACTGACATGTAAAGCTTGCTGTGCTTCCAACAGCAATGAGTACATCTTGAGGAGTCTCTGTAAAAGCTAGAAAGAAAATTTATTGTAAAGTTGTCTGAAAACTCACTTATGGTTGCTGCTGAGGGTAATAGCTTGTATGCAAGCAAAAGGAAGACTGCTAACAGTCTGATTGCAGACATAATGTCTAGTTCTTCTGCTTGCAATACGCAACAATTGCTGTTTGGGTGGTATCCAGGTCCGCCCAGTTTTCAAATAGCAAGCTATGAATAATGAAATTAGACGTGGGTGTTACCATCAATGATTCATTGCTACACATTAGCAGCTCACATTATGGGCATAGCACATTAAAGCTGTAAATTATGCCCTTTTTAACACTGAAAGAGGTTTCTACCCATGATACAATAGTACAATGCTCAGTATGCATGTGCTGCTAGCATAGCCACCTGCATAAATCTAGATCCTGCAGGAACAAAACTAGATCAAGATCTACCTTTATTTTATTTGCAAACTTTATCTGCTGTTGCAATATTTTCTTTTCAATAGCTAAAGAATGTGCAAACAGTCATTACTCATAGACTATAATTTGTTATTTGTGGTCACTAGTGGAATGTGGTAACTACTGGAATGTACAGTTAATCATTGTGCATGGGTGGGGTAGTCGACTGGACAGAACTGGATTGAAGTCATTGGTTTCTCGTGAGCGCCATAATGCTATGCAAGGACTGACTCTGCTATAATCTCCTCTGCCCTGATCCTCTTCCTTCGTCTCTCTGATTCTCTTACCTTAAATCTCCATACGTTTGCTAGGAAAAATGGTAAGCAGCACATACTGCTTTATTGTAATTTTATCCTTCACCCAGCGTGAGGTGATATCTATCCACGTTGGCCAAGCGGGAGTGCAGATGGGCAATGCCTGTTGGGAGCTGTACTGCTTGGAGCACGGTATCCAGCCTAATGGACAGATGCCATCTGACAAAACAGTTGGCTATGGAGATGACTCCTTCAATACATTCTTTAGTGAAACTGGTGCAGGGAAACATGTTCCCCGTGCTGTCTTTGTTGATTTGGAGCCAACTGTTGTGGGTAAGCTCATTAAATTCTTTACTATGAACCATAAAATTATGTAACATTATATATATGTTAATAGATGAGGTTCGTACTGGAACCTATCGTCAACTTTTCCACCCCGAGCAGCTCTTGACTGGCAAGGAAGATGCTGCTAATAACTATGCCCGTGGTCACTACACTGTTGGGAAGGACATGATAGACGTTGTCATGGACCGGCTCCGTAAACACGCTGACCAGTGTAACGGTCTACAAGGCTTCCTTGTATTTCGTTCCTTTGGAGGTGGTACTGGGTCTGGGTTTGCTTCTCTCCTTATGGAGCGTCTTTCTGTTGATTATGGAAAGAAGTCCAAGCTTGAGTTTTGCGTTTATCCTGCTCCTCAAATCTCTACTGCAGTTGTTGAGCCATACAACTCTATCCTTACCACCCACACTACCCTAGAGCACTCTGATTGTGCTTTCATGGTTGATAACGAGGCCATTTATGACATCTGTCGCCGTAATCTAGATATACAGCGTCCAACCTACACTAACCTCAACAGATTGATTGGGCAGGTAGTATCCTCTATGACTGCTTCTCTTCGTTTTGATGGTGCTCTTAACGTTGATCTTATCGAGTTCCAGACCAATCTGGTACCTTACCCACGTATCCATTTCCCTCTTGCCACCTATGCTCC